TTTTTTTTTATGGTTTCATTTTAATTTGAAAGTTTTAGTATTTTTGTCATTTTTATTATTTTATTTTTTATAAAACTACATAATCTTCATTCATTTTTATTTTAGTTAATTTAGTACAACAAGACTAATGAAAAACTAATACTAATGAAAATGAGAAATGTTGCTGAAAAAAAATAACTAAGACAGATAGATAGATAGATTTCAGTTCAAGTTTATTTTATTTCAAGTAACAAATATTTTCTTATGGTTTTAGTTTTAGTTAACTATAATAACCCCGTGGCTGAATTAATTTGTTGTATAGAAGTAGAAAGAAGAACAAGAACTATAAATGTTGCAAGAACTATAAAAATGGAAATGACCAAACAAATACCTGCTCGTGGATGATATCAGAAAGTTCTTTCACCATGCTTTTGAAGTTAGTCTTTAGTCCCTCATGATATTCGTACTGATCCTCCTTAATGAGTCTCTCATTAATCTCCAGAGCCATGCTGCATGCATTGACAAATTGCCTGCAACAAATATAACCAAACGTTTAAGCATAACAGAAACAATATAATAATATAAACAATAAAAAAGTAGCGTGTGTTCATATAATTAGTTTTAGCATGCTAACATGTTATTTTTAGCTAGTAGTTAAATGCAAAAGATTTGTCTGATTTAAGTTGACAATTTTATAGGGTGGAAAATGGACTTGTATTGAAAAAAAGAGAGAAAAAAATAAAACAAACAAACTGTGTTTGGAGAAAAGTAAAACTGTCATAAAAATGTTGACGAGAGTGCTATAAACACAAATTCCATACCAAGATGTCCTGGTATGATAACTAATACATTCCTGCAACATGGCAAGTTGATACATGCTATTGAATAAACAGGGCCTGCAGTTGGTTGCTTCCTGAACATGGCTAACTTCAGCTTCAGCTATTTTTAATAGAGTTACTATTCTCTTGAAATTAAAGTTCGCAAGAAGCTTAAAGACTTTACCAGATGAGCCAATTGTGTTTTTATAACTAGGCAAAATCTCAATTACAAATATTCGTATAGATCTTTCACATACATCCAACTACAGAAACCATGTATCTACGTGTGTAACTGTTGTTTTACCAAACCATGCCTTTCCTTGTTATGTAGCCACATAGTTATCTGTTCCCTTTCTAAGTTCAACAAACTGCAAAAGTAATACCTGCATCTGAACACCACATACCTGAATATTTCCTTGAGCTCCTTTACTTTCTTACTGGACTGACCAGATTTAGATTCATCTAGGAAAGCTCGGGCATAGGCCATCGGACCTGCATTCACCTATAAGCCCAAAAACGGTATAAGATGCATGAAATGATTGCCTGCAAATCACCATCAATGAAAAGACCGCTCAGTACACTCAAAATGTGGTCACATTATAACAAAACTGCCAAAAATAGTCATTACAATTTTTTTTCCTGTTACAGGCTAACAGGAATTTTGTTTTGCATTAAGGGAAATTTTGCTTGTGTCAGTTTAATCAACATGTGCAAGTCTATAACTGAAGTCAAGATTGGAGAGAAAAACAGCATTTCAAAATATTCTGAAAATGGTTTTCTTGCATTATAATGAGCAGTTTACTATAATGTGGGCGGGGGAGGGGGGCTGATTTAAATTGTAAACAATTTAAATTAAATGAAAACCTCAAAAGTAACAGTATCACAGTCAGAGCATGTGAGCGAAGCGGAGCGGTGTGACGCTCTGCTACATTTTCCTCTCTATGGACGTGCGCTCCACTCAGTCGCTCTAACCGCCCAAGCAAGCGCTCCGTTAATATTCCGCTCACGCTCGCCGTAAACCAATTCCCGCTCAGATCCTGCTCCGTTCTGTAAAGAACAAATTTGCGTGCATTCTATTAGATTATAAATTACTGCTGCCTATATCTAGCCTACATTCTGTAGGACTACCTATTGGTTCGGGTCAGTTTTTTTAAAAATAATATTTGAATAGGCCTAAGTGGTGTAGGCTAATATCTTCTGTACTCTGTAGTTCTGTATTTAGGCCTATATACAGCTGTGTGTTAGCTTAGGTCTACAGTTTAACTGAGATTATTTAATAACTACAGAGCTCCGAATATAATTTGAATTAACAATTCGTTTCTACGACGTCAGCAGGTTTTATTATTTTTTTTTTTATTAATTTATTATTATTTATTAATTTTAAGCAATAATGATTTTAATAAGTAATTACGAAATATAATAATTCGTTCCACGATTTAGGCCTACTAAAACTAGGGAATGAACGAATTAACGAACGAATTAATTCGTGCCAGCTAAGTCTAAACAAGAGAACGAATACTTAATTCGTGGCCATAATTTAGACTAAACGAAAAAATTAATTCTTAATTCGTGGCCATAATGTAGTCCTAGCATAAAAGAGAACTAGCCTATTCTAAATTCGTGGCCGTGATTTTGTCTGCATGTCATGATCGGGGCTCCGTACAACCGAATATAACCTTAGCCTACCTGTTTATTCATTTATTATGGTATGTAACTAGCTCACCTTTTGCTGCACCATGTTTGCGTAGCACATCTTCGTGCTCTCTGTAATCAATATGAATCTGTACTAACTTTAACAGTCTCCCCGCACTCCCTCTCAGTTTCTTCTCCCTGCTCATTCTTAACTTTGATTTTTACTTTACATTTATGTATAAGGCTTGCAACTTCGTTGAAACAATATCTGAACTCCATAACTGCTCTACTATTCTCGATCTCTACAGATTCTCGATCTCGAACAAGCAAATCACCAAACGGCATTCTGGGTTGAGCGAGCGGCGCTGAGCGTATTGAGCGAGCGGAGCGGAATCTTCAGAAAGGCACTCTGCGCTCTTAAGGAAATATTACCACTACGCTCCCCGCTCCGCTCCGCTCACATGCTCTAATCACAGTACAAACAAAATTCTATTTTTTTTTATTTAAACCCGTTTAAACTGAAGCCAGTATAACTAATACTACCATGATTAACACATTGTAGATAATAAATCATTATTATTATTACAAAAAACCTGATGTTCCTAAAATTATGCTTTGTTCTATTTTTTTTGTTCTATTAAAATTATGCTTTGGTCTATTTTCTGAGTCACTAAACATTATTCTGTAGATCATGATATTATGCATTTATTGCATTTATGTTAATATACTTTATAATGTAATTTATTCCTGTGATGCAAAGCTGAATTTTTTGCATCATTATTCCAGACTTCAGTGTCACATGATCCTTCAGAAATCATTCTAATATGCTGATTTGCTGCTCAACAAACCTTTCATATTATTATCAATGTTGTAAACATTTGTTTAATATTTTGTGGAAACAATGATACATCTTTTCAGGATTCTTTGATTTGCAAAAAGATCAAGAAATCTTTTGTAGTATAAATCTCTTTACTGTCACTTTTGATCAATTTAATGCTTTCTTGCTGTATAAAAGTAATAATTTCTTTAAAAACCCCAACATTTTGAACGGTAGTGAGCTAAAAGTTCCAGAGTGTGTAATGCATACTAGTACCTGCACACTAACACAACCTTGGAGTTTGAGCTGAAGTGTGATCATGTTAACCTCCTGATTAGAGCAGAGCTTAGTGAGTTCAGCACTCCTCTCTTTCATCTCATCTATTGCGACATCAATCGGTTTCAGCTCCAAGTGCTTTTCTCCCACTACCTCGATGCGCTTCTTTACATAGGGAAATGAGTTGGCCGCTGTAGACACAAACAACATGAAAACACACACATGGTCAACAAACCAATATTCTTTTGACAAGCATCACCAAAACAAAAGACAGCGATCGTGATCTGATAGGGGCATATCAAAATTTTCATCTATGACTGACACACACCTGCTGTTGTCAATATTGACTGTTTGAAGAAGCCATCTGAAAAGAGTCATTATCCAAGTGATATTTTGAGGTCGCTCACAAAAGTTGTCACACAAGTGCCCATGGGGAACATGTCATTGCCATTGTACGTGGACAACGTTTTTTCTTATTTTCATCAATTATTAAACCAACGTTATACAGTATTAAACACGTGCCATTTTCTTTGGGTTATGAAGATGGATGCTGCAACTAGCATGTAAATGTTTACAAGCATTCGCCTGTTCACGCTATAAGGGCCACATACACACTGCAAGTTTAAGAAGTGACAACCACATTTAAATATGAGAGTGAATACCATAAATGATCATTCCATGTGTGTATGAAGCATGAGTCACTTCTGAAATTGCGATTATTGACAGTGGTAACCATAGCAATGCTTCAGAGTTTTGCAATTTTAACCACTCACAGATTTATTGTGTTTTTTTATGCTCGGAAGGCTGATACGTGTTTAAATATGTCATTAACGACAAGTTGTTCAGTTCGAGCATCAGAACAAGAGTTTAAACAGCTGATAAAACCATCACAGTAAGCCACAAGTAATCAACACAACTCCAGTCCATCAATTAATGAAGCAAAAAGCTGCATGTTTGTAAGAAACAAATTCATAGAGAGCTTTTTTTTTTTTTTTTAAACCATTGCTTCCGGCTAAAATACGAGCCCTGTATTCATAACATTGCTTTCTCCAGTGAAAAAGTCGTCTCATCTGAATCAGGACAGAAATGTGCATGGATCAAACACCGTTTATAAGTGGAAACAGTCCAGCACAGTTCTAAACAGGTGGATTTTGATTTGAGAGGAAAACAGAGGATGGACTTTTTCATTGGAGGAAGCGGTATTATGGATTATGGACTCATTTTTTTGGGGCCAGAAGCAATTGTTTGAAGTTAAAAACATCTTAATGCTGAATTAGTTTTTTACAAACATGCAGCCATTTGATCACAACACATTAATTGATGGACTGGAGTGGTGTGGATTACTATAATGTTTTTCTCAGCTGTTTGGACTCTTATTCTGACGGCACCCATTCACTGCAGAGGATCCATTGGTGAACAAGTGACGTAATGATAAATTTCTCCAAATCTGTTCCCATGAAGAAACAAACCCATCTACATATTGGACGGCCTGAAGATAAGTACATTTTCAGCAAAGTTTCATTTTTGGGTGAACTATTCCTTTAAACAATAAAGTAATAAAACAAACACACACCTTTTAGAGGTGCAAGTTAAAGGGGCAAACTAAATAAAGAAAAAATATAACTGCACACTCACTTAAGCATCATTTATTAGTTACCAAGGTTTCAGCAAAACAAGTAGCCTTTGTCAAGGTATGATCCATACCAAGTGGAGAACAATATAGGTAACTAAGAAACGATGCTTAAGTGAGTCTGCAGTTATATTTTTTCTTTAAGAACTATTCTTTTAAGCACTAAAAGGTGACGTGGACATGTACACAATGCAGAGTTGATGTACGAGTTGCAAAAAAAAAGTTCAGATTTAAAAGATTACGATATACTGGGAGTAATGCCAGATCTCCTGCTGTCTGCTTACTTACTGGTAAGTATCGTTCGCCGCTTGCACTGTTCCTCAACCACACCTTGTTTCTTCCCCGTTAGTGTGAATGGAGTCTCGAAGACAAAACGCTGGATGTTGTGGCATTTCTCAAAGTCTGTCTTCCTCTCTGCCAGTTCTTTCTCATCAAAGTAGGGCTTGACAAATGTGACCTGAATGTAGGCAAACTTTGGGTCTAGATCTTTCTGGTTAACCTGTGGGTAAGATAAGCAAGTTTATGTGTTGTTTATTTTATTTAAAGAAAGTGAGATGGCAGAGTTTACTATGACACTGGGAAAATAGGGTGGGGTATTCAATAAAGATAATGCTTAGTAGTTCTGAATTTAAATACTCAAAAATATGCAAAGACTGCAAGCTAGATGTTTGTTTGTTCTTAACATAAACAAATCTTTCCTGCACGATGACTCAGATGAGCTGCTGTTCATGGTCATTTCAGCACAATACAGGAAGCTGGAGAGTTAAACAGAAACGTTATGACTTCTTACTTTGTTGGAGTCTTGGATGATTTTGACATTCTCTGCTCCAAACTTTTCTCCGTAGAGACTTATCAGGCGAAGGGAAATTTCAGGCAGACCTGTTAGCTTTGGCTCTTTGTAGATGTATTCTTTTCCATCCTCTTCTTCAAAGAAGCCCTGAGGTCCGAAAATAAATAAAGATACATACAAAGTGAACAAGTCATTCTATTCATCAAAGAATCCTGAAAAATGTATCTTGGTTTCCACAAAAATATTAAGCAGTACAACAGTTTTCAACACTGATAATAAGAAACGTTTCTTGAGCAGCAAATCAGCATATTAGAATAAGTTCTGAAGGATCGTGTGACACTGGAGACTGGAGTAATGATGCTGAAAATTCAGTTTTGAATCAAAGGAATAAATTAAATATTAAAATATATTACAATAGAAAACAGTTCTTTTAAATTGCAATAATATTTCACAATATGACTGTTTTTACTGTATTCTTGATGCTGAAAATTCAGCTTTGAATCAAAGGAATAAATTACATTTTAAAATATATTACAATAGAAAACAGTTCTTTTAAACTGCAATAATATTTCACAATATGACTGTTTTTATTGTATTCTTGATGCTGAAAATTCAGCTTTGAATCAAAGGAATAAATTACATTTTAAAATATATTACAATAGAAAACAGTTCTTTTAAATTGCAATAATATTTCACAATATGACTGTTTTTACTGTATTCTTGATGCTGAAAATTCAGCTTTGAATCAAAGGAATAAATTACATTTTAAAATATATTACAATAGAAAACAGTTCTTTTAAACTGCAACAATATTTCAAAATTTGACTGTTTTTACTGTATTTTTGATCAAATAAATGCATACTTCTTTCAAAAACATTACAAAATTTCACCTACCCAAAACGTTTGAAAGGCACTGTAAAAATGTGCTTGATGTGATACTTGCTATCTTCTCGAAACATATTTTAGCCATCAATTTATGAACCAAAATAGATGAATCTCAAAGCCCGACAATGTCTAGACACTGATGTCTGATATGTACAATATCAGTCACACAAGAGATACATGATATCAATTTTTTTACACAGAGAAGTAATTTTGGGAAGTGGTAACAAAAAGCGTCAAAGCTACACATGTAGAATCTTGTGGTATGCTATCATTTGAACCCACCTGCCCATAAAAGGCGACTCTAAAGTAAGTCCCCAGCAGACGTCGGCCAGACTGCATCACCTCTAATATCTTCGCATAAGCTCGCTGCAGTGTGTCATACAATCGCCTCAGTTTCTACAGGAGAAAGAGAGAAATAACAGCTATGTGAGGGAGTGTGTGAGATGTTAGAACTGCTAGTATGTCATTTTTATGCACTGCTGTTTAGATCTGTGCTGTAAAATGTGCTGTCGATTTGTTTTTGCCTTTTTGCTTGAAACTGTCAACTTTGGCTTGCTAAATATGAATTGTGACCCTGGACCACAAAACCAGTCTTAAGTCGCTGGGGTATATTTTTAGCAATAGCCAAAAAAACATTGTATGGGTCAAAATTATCGATTTTCTTTTATGCCAAAAATCATTAGGATATTAATTAAAGATCATGTTCCATGAAGATATTTTGTAAATTTCCTACTGTAAATATATTAAAACATAATTTTTGGTTAGTAATATGCATTGCCAAGAACTTCATTTGGACAACTTTAAAGGCGATTTTCTCAATCTTTAGATTTTTTTGCACCCTCAAATTCCAGATTTTCAAATAGTTGTATCTCGACCAAATATTGTCCTATCCTAACAAACCATACATCAATGGAAAGCTTATTTATTCAGCTTTCAGAAGATGTATAAATCTCAATTTCGAAAAATTGACCCTTATGACTGGTTTTGTGGTCCCGGGTCACAATTGTGAAAAATTCAAATTTAACAGATTACTTGTCTTAGCACATTTATCGACATAAAAAGAGATGACTGAGGAAAGACTAGGAACAAGAGCAGGAAATGACAGGTCGGATGCGATGAGTGAACTGCAGACCATGTCTGCAACTGTATGTCAACTTAAAAGTGTGCAAACTTTAATAAGGATGCTGATGTCTTTGTTAACAGAGGTACATATTCTAAAGTCCCTTGCAAACAGTTTTCCTCAGAACTGACTCTTTATTAGAGCAGAGTAAATTGGCTTAGGCTAAAAAAAAACATGTTTGTTCTTTCATGACACATATTCTTAAATAAATCTTCCTGTCTGACACTGTGGTGCCATTTACTCAAACATCTAAAAACAAAGGTATGGAAATTACTTGGAAAAAATGTTAACAAATTGTCAATATTATAATAACACTATATTCATACATAATTTATGGGTGTCATTTAAAAAATTGATATGGAAAGTCAAATGGAAGAAATTAAATCTAATTAAACACAAAAAACAGTTTAAATAATGACTAGCAAGTTGTTAATTTATTTGCACAAGGCAAAGGCACACAATAATCACAGGTTTTCTTATTTGTTCACCTTTGTTAGCATAATATATACTACTTTATTAAATAGACCAGTTTTTTAACTGATGTTTTATTAACACCAATAACAGAACATGATAAATCATTTAACAAATTTTTATTTAAAGAAATATCATAAAAAGCAATGCAATAAATGTCACACACCTTTGTTGCTATTTAATCGAGTCAAATAACTCAAGAGCTTCAAAGATTAAGATTTGCATGTGTGTCTGTTGGTGGAAACGGTTTTAAACAAAAGACAGACTTTTGGAAGGGTCAAACTTCTCATGATAGTGCTGGCACTGTGGGAAATTTTCCATGTAGAAGAGTTTGTTTATGAATGGCTTTCCAAACAGTGGCTACAGAAGGCAGAGGATGATGTTTCTTATTTACTTCAGAGAGGGATTTTTACATTTACAAAATGTGTGGTTTATGTCAGTGCAAATGCTAGCAAGTGCTTGCCTGGGCATTGCTATGGTGCTCTGGGTGGCTACTAGCTAAATTATAGCTTAAAACAAATAAATAATAATAATAATAGACAAAAGTACATAAAATTACACAAATGAAAACATATTTATTATTTGTTTATTTTAAAATACCTCTAAACAGTTAATAAATATTATAACTGTATATAAATCATTCTAAAATAATAATATTAAGAATCTATGATATTCTGGTCCCTGGATATGGTTTGGGTTTTTTATTTAACACATAGGGGACGTGAACGGAACTACTACATGAACCGAGTAGAGTAACTGAAAGTGAAATAGATCAAGGCTCTTTTCATAATGACTGATAACGCCCTCACCACCCATACGAACATCTGATTGAGCTACTTCATTCCTTTCACGCCTGGTCAGAGTGTGCTTGTGCTTTCTAAGAGTTTAGTTATTGAGGAAGGAGCTTCAAAGAACCACTGCTGCCACAAAGACTTCACAGCATTGTGAAAGAATTGGGCAACTAGCACTTGCCAAAGGAAAATTAGCACATTTCTTCAATCTGCATAGCATTGTTTCTTACCTCAAACTTGTGCCGTTTCTCGTAAATGGGAATGATGAGTCTCGCAATGTGTGTTATGAGCTCAAACCTCTCGGCTTTCCACAGACCCTCAACACATACCTCCAACTGCTCAACCAGGACATCCTGTCACACATGTACAACTGAAGTTTCACAAATGCATCTTTTGACTCGTTCGTCAAACATACTCCTGATAGGGTCTTTTATGGGGTTCGATCTGTCGGGTGTTGTTTACCTCAGTGTAGTACACATCTTGCATCCCTACGTCTTCTTTCATTGCTCCTTCTTCATCAATGTTGTGGGTGGTTTTCTTAAAAGCTGCCAGTCCACTTGGGAACTGCTCTGAAACAATAAGATAATATGCCTCTATATTAACACAAGATTAGCGAAAACCCTTTATACTGTTTACAAAACATATGAATCAATTTAAACCTAATAAAATGAATTGTTTTGCTTGAAAAATGTGCTTGTGCCATGTTTCTTTAAAATAAAGACATCAAAGAAGGGTTGACTTTTGGTCAGATTTTTTTTTTTCAAATGTAATGTAATGAAATGTAACACATTTTTATTTTACCACGCTTTTTTCTTGTGTATCCATATACAGTTTGGGGCCACGGTACATAAGCTATTTCATTATTAAAGATTACTCATGAAAAGCTGATGATTAGGATTACAAAATAACTGCATCACTGTTACCAACACATGACTTCTGAGAAACATACAGCAGTCCTTTAAACAATACCATTTTCATCTTTGGTTTCTAGTTATGTAAATTTGTGGGTCCTGCGACATCCTTTTAGTTTTACATTGTAGAAGTTTAGGGTGGCACAAACCTCTAAACTGCTAGCAGTTAACAAAATTCATTTGCTATTTAATTGGCAAAACCGTTTTTAAAAACGATCAAATATATTAAAAGATTTCTGTTAATGAATGCTTTATTTAAAATAAAAACGGAAGAGAAAAAACAGGTTTAAAATGCATTCTACAATACTCGAGACACATTGTTTGAGACTTTGCATTGCCATTTGCATTATGCACCACAAATTAGGGCTAGGATAGTAAAGTGTTTGTCCTGAGCAGTACCATTATTTGCATGGGGGAAAATGAGGGAAATTACATGAGCCACAGGTATTTATTGTTTTTGTGTTGTTCATTTATAAATGAAAAACGAAGAATTAATGTATCATTGTAATATGAGGTCAGACTGATTCTAATTTAGCGATCAGTGTAAAATACAGTTACGGCTGATTTATAGGACACATAATCTAAGGAAGAATGTCTTTACTCCTAATAAATGAGCATGAACCCTTTGTTGAAAGTAAAGAAACCTTTGCAAACTTACTTTTCCTGTGCAAATACTCTGCCACCAATGCAGCAACATGAACATTACACATAGCAGCCTGTGAAAATACAACAGCAGAGAAAATAAGGTTCACATCACTAAGAAAACAAATCTCACACACAATGAACTGAACTTAAAGGGGTCATATGATGCTATTTCAATTTTTCCTTTACTTTGTTTGGCCTTCCAAAAGAGGACGATATCCGCTTTGTCATGCCTGGAGCTGATCCGTGCTGGTCGCTGAAGAGATACATCAATTTCGCGCTGTGGATTGGCTTTCACCGTGGACGAAGCGGAGTCCAGCCCGGGGTCGCCACATGTGGTTTAGGTAAAGTACTTTGTCACTTTAGCCGCTGGCCTCTGCTTACTCTAGGCCACCGTGTGTGACTCTGTGTATCGTTGTGAAAGCGAAACTACTTTGTTTGGCCTATGTTTTTGTTTCGTCGCTCCGGCCTGACAGGGCATCACAGTATGGTAGCGCCATAACATTTCCATCCCACGCTTGAGGTATTTGGCCAATCACAACGCACTGGATATCTGGCCAATCACAGCACACCTCGCTTTTTCAGACCGATTAGCTTTGTAAAAATCGACGCGTTTCAGAAAGGCGGGGCATAGAGGAGAAACAATAATGTACAGTATGTGGAAAATAATGTGTTTTTTTAACCTTAAACCGCATAAACACATTTCATTACACCAAATACACAAAATAATGTTCTTTTTAGCAACATCATATGACCCCTTTAAGCTCATCCATGTCAAAATGATTTAAAGGAATAGTCCACTCAAAACTGAAAATTAGCTGAAAATGTACTCACCCTTAGGCCATCCAAGATGTAGATGAGTTTGTTTCTTCATCAGAACAGATTTGGAGAAATGTAGCATTACATGACTTGCTCATCAGTGGATCCCCTGCAGTGAATGGGTGCCGTCAGAATGAGAGTCCAAACAGCTGATAAAAACATCACAATAATCCACAAATCATCCACACGACTCCAGTCCATCAGTTAACATCTTGTGAAGTTTGTTTCTTACAAACACTCAGCTTTTCATTCACAAGAAATTAATCGTGTGGATTATTGTGATGATTTATCAGCTGTTTGAATGCTCATTCTGACGGCACCCATTCACTGCAGAGGATCCCTTGGTGAACAAGTGATGTAATGCTAAATTTCTCCAAATCTGTTCCCATGAAGAAACAAACTTATCTACATCTTGGATGGCCTGAGGGTAAATAAATATTCAGCAAATTTACATTTTTGAGTGAACTATTCCTATAACTATCCCTATATGTTTTAGGGGATCCACTGCACAAGGAACTACTGTTATATAATCTTTTCCATTGTTGGATATATTCCCAGTATGCAACTAAAATAGAAATATTAGAGAATGCTGGCAAGGAAGTGACCTTTAATCCAATTCAGTTCCTGTTTTTTATTCTGTGGGGGATATATTTACATGAAGAATTAAACAGTGCTGCTAACCTAAACATATCAGAAGAGTACGGAACAGATTAAGCCCAATTTTTAAATAATGAATAAATCAAGTAACGTAAACAGAAAAAGTTAACAGCAATGAAAGTCTCTTGTGAACTGTTGATAAATGATCAAGGATTGACCAGTGTTCAGTCAGGCAAGGCTATGACAGGTGCTCTTACAAAGATTGTTTAAAGGATACCCTGAACTTTACTGCCAGGAGGTGGTTTCCAGAGGGTTGCTTGCCATTAATTATGGTCATAAAATATAACTGGTTTATGTGATGCTAAAGTTTTTGTTTAAAGAAATCCCCAAACAGGCGGTCCAAAACAAAAATGGGGAAAGGTGAAAATACATCAGTTTCAAATAAAAATAAAACATTTATCAAATGCATCAAAAGACAATTGATGTGCATAAAGCCCAATAGAGAATTAAAGTCTGACAAAATATATTGTGCCCTTGTAAGATTCTGCCTATCTGTAACTTCAACTTCAACTTTATTTATTTATATAGCACATTTAATTGCAACTAAGTTGCCCAAAGTGCCCAACAGTATGCAAAAATATATAATCCAAAATATACATAAACATAAAATACAGTATAACCTTAACAATAGTGAATATTTTCACACGCACCTAGGGAAATTCTCAAGAACCAAGCTGAACAAAAAGGTCTTCAGCAGTCTTAAAAACCTTGATAGAAGGGACCTGCCTAATATAGAGTGGGAGGTTATTCCACAATTTAGGAGCAACTACTGAGAAGGCTCTGTCACCCTTTGACTTCTTTTTAGTTTGAGGGACTGCCAGCAACAGTTGATCCGCCGATCTTAAGGTCCTGGCTGATGTAAGAAATCCTAAAAGATTACTAATATATACTGGAGACAAGTTGTGGAGTGCTTTAAAAACCATTAATAAAATGTTATAATCAATTTTGTACTGAACCGGCAGCCAATGTAGGGAGGATTACAATAGTCTAGTCTTGAAGTAATGAAAGCATGAATAACGATCTCCAAGTCTTTAAAAGTAAGAAAGGGCTTTAACCTAGAGATCAGTCTCAGTTGATAAAAACTGCTTTTCACAACAGATTTTATCTGTTTTTCAAAACTAAGGGATGAATCGATTATAATACCCAGAGTCCTCACGCTGTCTTGCACAGTTATACCTAAGGGAGCGATAGTGCAGGCTATCATATCTTTCACTTTTGGTGGGCCAAATATTACTATCTCTGACTTCCATTCATTAAGCTTAAATTATTTGAAAGCCAAATTTTGACCTCATTTAAACAACCCAACAATGTCTTTAAGGACTGCTCATTCCCAGCTTTTACTGGTAGATACAACTGTGTATCATCTGCATACACATGATATAATATATTGAAGTGGCCACAGATGGATCCCAGGGGGCACATGTACAATGAAAATACCTAAAGTTGACCTAAAGTTGGTTGAATGAGTGTTAGAAAAACTTCAAACTTTAAAGTAAACTAAACGTTTTCCTACAGCAGCCTTTTCAATGCCTTCTATAAAAGTAAAATGTTAAATAAAATGTATTTTATCAAATGTATCACTAGATCATTTAGACTGTAAGATGATTACATCAAACATTGAAGCTGATGGTTTAAAAAGAACTGGCATTTGGTATTTAATATATTTGGTATTTAATATATTTTATATTTGTATTTGAACAGGGATTTATATAGACAAACTTTTTAAAAAAGAGCTTTTGACAACTGAATACTGTGCCACATAGATGCCGATTTATGTTTGTGCCGATGGGTGCCCAACTTCAGAGCTGTTGAAACCAGAGACACTAAATAAAACCAAATAATCCACATATAAGATGAAATCAACAGATGCAAGGAGTATTCGATGAAGCCCGTGTGCATTAATGTTTAATCTAACTGTATAGAGATTTTCATGGATGAAATGAACAAATACCCTGCTAATTTTTTCCGACTTTGAAGCATAGCCTACTGCCACATAAAACTCCATGCGATAGCCTAAATATGAGCTACTGATAATGAAAACTGCTCAAACACAGATTTATCCAGGCCCGGTTCCAGAATTAAATACTGAGGGTGCTTCAGAAATTAGTGAGTGTGCTCTAGCCTCAATGCACATACATTTTTACGTATACTTTTGTCCTGTCCATTGCTCTTTCGGGTGTGAATCCCGCATAAATATGCGGATGTCATTCCCTAAACTTTGCAGCATGTATGTGGCCGAATGGATTATATATAGCCTAGAAAGCACACAAAGAGCACTCCCTTTATAATCACTAAAAAGCTGTCCCTCGTCTTATCAATTCGTCTCTGGTGAAACTGATTGCAGGGATATAACTAAAGACAGGACAAACTAACAAAAACATAAAAACAACTGCGGAGCACGCCACGGAGGCAGCCATCAGCGTCGGCGCCATCTTTATTCATTCTCACGATCTCATGAAGTTTTGTTATAATGAGTGGATTCAAGCTTGCAAAACTCAGCACTAGACAAAAACTGGTGTTTTGAGTGGCGAGTGGATTCTAACTTAAACACTTCTAACTGGCCATTGTGTTCAAGAACTCAACAGATATGTCTGTGATTGGCTACATTGCTCAACAATGCAAAAAAAAGCTGTAAATAGAAAGCTTTTGACGCTCTCCAGACAATCTCAAGCACAAATATGCACTGGATAGTTTGCCAGATATGTTTCACCAATATGATAGTGAATAGAGAATATCTTGAGTTTTTCCTGTGGGTGCTCGGGAATCGGCGCATATTCTGTGCCATGTGGTGGTGTTTAATTCATTACAGAAGCCTGTTCCCTCCTCAGAGTACAAAATAAAAGGAGGTAATTGTGACACAGTTTTATTATTAAAAATGAAGTTTCAATTGTTAGCTGTTTCTCTGAAACGGAAACAGGTCTCCATACAAAAGCCACTATTATCTTATTGTGACGAGTGGGGTGGGGCCTAGAGCCGTGGGACTCGAGACCGGTGAGTGGCGCAGGTGTCGCTCATCATCCTTTACTCCACAGGCCTCGGCCCGCCCCACTCGTCACACTTATATAAAACTAACGTTTTCTGTTTCTATATAGGGATATGTACCCTAAAGGTGAAATCATCTTCACATGAAAAATACACCCAAAAATTGCAAAAGAACTGCACAATACATGAAAGATGCAAATAATCCTACTAACCAGATCTTTTGAAAAATATTGTGCCATTTATAGATTAACCAGAAAAATAAATGGGGAAATTTTTTTTTACTTATGCATCTATACGGCATCTATCTATTTTTCCCTACTCTCAGCTAATATTGGTTGCTGAAAACATATGTAGTTTTGGTGAGCTGATGCAAATTTATTGGTATTAAATTGAAAACCGAATGAAACAATGTATGGCATTATGATAAACATCTGAAAACAAACACTGTGTTTCCTCTGAAATTTCCACCGTAAAACAGCTGATATGATCTGTAATCTGTGTGTAGAATGATATTCAGGGTTTACTTACAGCTTCAGGGTGAGGTGGGGCTTAAAATTGGCCTACAGGCATCATGACTGAGCATCTAATTTCATCCATTTAGAATGTGTTGTTTCCAAAACAAGTTGACATGGAGCCTTTCCAATGCACCTGCACCAAAAAAACAACACTGCATCACGTGCTCAAAATAACATACCTCCGAAAAGTCTCCATTCTTGCTGTGTGCTCGTGCCATGCTGTCCAGCCATGTCCGCCTGAGCTCCGGAGTGCTGGCGTACGATTGGGCGAGACTGTACTGAAGGTCGAGCAGCATTTCTGGGTCTTTTTCGTGCTCACGCATCTGAGCAGTGGCCATCAAAACCGTACGAATTCTCATCGTCAGACACTTCACTTCAGATGGAAACGTTGTGGTCTGGGGAGACATATAGATCATCCAGATTTCATCTTTTAAAATGTAAACAAATATTTACCAACAGAAGCAAAAATAATTCTACTAAGAAATATACTAAAAAACTTAAACTGAAAAATACTAAGTGTTGCAGCTGTTCGCACAAGTCACAGTCCTCTGTGCTATTTTTAAATTCCTGATCTATGCTAATTTTATTGACACCGTGTGTTGCGGCTTTTTCTACATCTCACAAGAATGACTTGGCTTTGTTTTAAAAAGTGGTGGGGACAGTGTTGTGGGGTTGTGGTTTTTTGCAATTACTTTGAAAGTATCATCTTGTCTGCACTCAGAACTTGACATCTGCCATTTATTACACGGCTCTCTGAAATGCTTAATATAGACCTGAGTCAGGGCAGCAGCATATTTAGTTTTAGACAGGAATGAAAACGAGGTTGCTAGGGATAAAAAATACAGTGCGTTCAATGGATTGTACTGTTGTTTAACAACATGCTGATTGTTCAGCTGAAAGTTGAAAGTTTTGAGTTGTGAAAACACAATCTAGAACCTTTATACAGTGCATGCCATTGTAAAGAACATAAGTCTATCCCTTACAGCCTTGTTTTCATCCGTGTTAAATTCGATATGACATCTAACCTGACTATGGTCTATTCCGCGATAATGACTGTCATCAATAGCAATGCAGTATAATGACTGCACATCGGTTATTTGAGGCCGGCGCTTCTTTCATGTCTCTTGTATCACACTGCAGACGCACTCTCTCTCTATCATTCAGATACAGATTATGCCATCCTGTGCCCCAGTTATCAACTAACTGTTACTAACTGTTCCAAAATCACGACTGAAAACCAAAGGAATAATAATAAGCAGCTTTCCCTATTGCTTGCGTGCCAGTGATTATCCCTCTTGCTTGCCATAGGTTGCCGACCCCTGTGCTATATAGACAAACCTTAACTCTATTTACTGTAAAATGAAACCCAAGGATTTCCAAATGAATGCTAACAGGCTGTTTATTTTTCATAAATCTAGATAAATGCATGGCAAGGTTTATACAGTACATCAGGCCCCTGATGTTCTGGATGGCGCAAATGTGTTTTGTGTTACATCTATAAATAAATTATGAAAAAGATGCTTTGTTTTGACTTTCAAAGAGTGCTGGGGATATTTACCAGCCATGAACGGCCCCTTAATGAAAATTATTTTTGAGGTAGATTGAAAAATGACTGCAGATTCCAGCTTGAATTTTCTACTGCACCTTCATGGCTTTATCACTGTTGGCAAAGTTGTTGATGATGGACAGTGACTCCTGGAAACGTGAGCTGCCTGTCAGCGCCACATCAGCGATAAGCTGGCTCACAGCGATGATGATCTAATGGTCAGAGTGGAAACAAAGACAAAATATCAACGCAACATTCCACAAACTTTCTTGGGTCACACAAGAGCAGGCACAGGTTAGTGTACTTATTAACCAAGGGGACAACATTGTCAGTTAAAGTCATGCTTGATTTCTAAGAAATGTGCTTGAGAAAAGAAGAGTGAAGAAAAAGAAAAATCAAGGTAAATCTAACATGTGAACATAATATTTTTATTGTTCATTAAGCTGAAATTTATGCAAATGTATTATACAAAATAATGCAACCAGTATGAAAATATAATTTAATTGCGTGTAGAGACATACACTGCCAGCTATGAAATTTGCCCTGGCAAGACAAAGGAGTCAATTTATTTTATAATATATATATATATATATATATATATATATATTTTATTCTAAAATGTAATTTCCATCACAGGATGCTATTAAACACAATACTTTGTATGAGATTGTTTGGAAAAGACACTGTATGTTCATGGTTTTCTCTTGTGGCATTTAAATGACACCATTTTTAACCAAAAATTGATTTTTTGTTGTTGTTCATTTACAAGACAAAAAAATGTACCCTTATATTTATTGTTGAACATTGTAAGTAGACAAATTAAAAGTGAAAGTGTGAAGAGTGAGTTAATTTACTAAAAGTCCTCAAGGCCTAAACTGCCTCTATAATAGCTAAAGGAACGCCCTCATAGGTTTCAGGGAGTGAAAGTACAAGCAAAAAAGCACAGTTTTGCAGATAGCTCTAAAACACTGTGAATTCAGTGTGAATGCAAAAAATACTATCAAATGAGAGTTTGTTTTCATTTATAAGGGTAAAATTAAAAGAATTAATTTCAATTCATTGTAAGTCATTGCTTTGCACTGAGTAGAAATGATGCAGATGCCTTAAGACATGTGAGCGAGTGGTGTTCAGCTGAAGTTCAAACAACAAGTGAATGTGGCTTGACCTGTCTCACTGGCACCATGAGGTTTTATTACACCATGTAGACTGTATCACATGCTTTCGCACCTTCAGCAAACTTTTTGTGCTTTTGATAAGAGAACAATCAAAGACACCTAGACTGTCTTGATAAAAGCACATTCAAAGACACCTAGACTGTCTAACTAATATCAGATAAACAGAAATGTTTTGGATCTGAGCTTGTGACACATCGGATCGCACGCAAGTCGAACACACAAACACGAATGTCATGTTGAATTTAAACTGTTAGGTGCCGGTAAACTACCATTCAAATTTGGGGTAAAGTTTTTTTTTTTTGGAGTAATGATGCTGAAAATTCAGGTTTGCCATCACAGAAAAAAAATTATTATTTTTAATATTAAATTACAATTACAAAAGAAAACAGTTATTTTAAATTGTAACAATATATTTCACAATATTACTCTTTTTACCGTATTTTTGATTAAATAAAAGCAGTCTTAGGCTACGTTTACACGACAACGATGTAGTCGAAAAAGGAAAAGTTTTTCCCTTGTGTTTTTAAAAAGTTTCACGTATACACGACAACGTTTTCAAAAATGATTCGCGTTTACACATATCCGTGAAAATGGACAAAAACGCTGTATTACGTATGCCAGGCCAGTAGTTGGCGCTGTCACCTTGTTAGTAAACAGTACCTGTTGCCGTGTGTTTATGATGCGTCTCCGCTGTTGGTTGTGATATTGGTTGTAAGTAAATCCACACTTTGCTGAAGAAGCGTTAGCAAACTCTTAAACAGCAACAACAGTACCATGTACTCCGCCATTGTTGTGTATGTTTGTTTGCGCTTGCCTTTAAAATCGACACGTACTGCACATGTCTACATACCTAACGCGTACTACGCACACGCATGATGTCACCGTTTTCAAAGATTCCCGTATTGGGTGTTTACACGGAAACGACAACGGTGGCGTTTTCAAAAACTTGCACTTTGAAACCCGTTTTCAAAAATATGCATTTTCAGTCCCCAAAACGCAGTTGTTGTGTAAACAAACAGGCAAAATGCATAAAAAGTTTCCCGTTTTTGGCTGAAAACGTTGTCGTGTAAACGGCCCCTTAGTGAGCAAAAGAGACTTAAAAAAAATCTTAACCCTAGTAGCTATCTTCAGGGGTCTGGAATTCACTTGAATGAATCCAGAATTCTTTAAAATTAACTAAACCAACGCCAGCTCAGGAGGTGGTCTGAGCACGATTCGCTAAACTAAAGTAGACCAAGAAGAGATCTGACTCCAATTTCAAAATCAGGAATAGTGTAAATGAAAGAGAACTGGGTGATTTTTATTATTGTTAAAAAGATATTGTTATAAATCAGGTTTATGAGATTTCATAAAGTGCGAAAACACCCTTAAAAGCAACGTAGAGCTGCACACCATTTGAAATTTCAAGTTACCGCCCTCACATTCTTATTAGCTGACTGCCGACATACATGACTCAAACATGCGATCACTCCACTGTATGTGTAACAGATCAAGAGTATCGTCTGAGAGTCATGCATTGATAAATATGTAAAGCCGGCCGACTCGACATCACGTGGTGTCAGGTGTCGTGACGAGCTACAGCCAATTAGAGAGCAAGGCATGGGTTAAGGTCACCGGAAGAAAAACAACAGTAGCGAGATGGCTTAAAGAAATGTTTGGACACAATAAATGGAGCAAAAGTTTTCATCAAGCAAACAGCTTAAAGCGGTAACCCCCGGTTGCGGATCATTTACATAGAGTCACGTAGTGTGAAAACCACAACGACTTGGGGTGCTTTCACACCTGTAGATCGATTGCTTTGTTCAGAAACAGGGATTAAAATTATTACAATGTTGCTTTTTATTCTTGGTGCGGCTCACTTTCACACGGCAATGTTTCTAAACGGACCAAATTTGTTAATACAAGTTACGCGTGAGTAAACTGTTCTCTTATTGGTCAAAGTTCAGGCGATCTCGGACCGATTGTTTTGGCGTGGATCCGAGCGCGATTGCCGTGTTCACATATGCCCAAACGAACCAAGCTAAGGGGGGAAACGCGCCAGGTTCCGAAACAAACGGCCAGGTGTGAAAGCACCCTTAAAGACAGACAATCAAGTCATGTAGTCTGAACAGCACAGCGATCTGCCGATGTTTAAAGTTGTGTAGTGTGAACTTAGCCTTACCAGACACTGTCAAATTATATGAATCATATTAGTTTTACTGCAGGTTTCATATTCATAATCATATTAGTATTGTCTGCTTAAGGTATTTATAATCTTTCAAAAGTTTTCTACTTCAAATAATTGCTGTTCATTAACACTTTCTATTCATCAAAGAATCCTAAAAAAAAGAAAAAAAAAAGAAAATCAGCATATTTGAATTATTTCTGAAAGATCAAGTGAGACTGTAGACTGGAGTAATGATGCTGAAAATTCAGATTTTCCATTATAAGAATAAATTACATTTTAAAATATATTAAAATGTTTCTTGAGCAGCAAATCCACATAGAATAATTTGTGAAGGATCATGTGATGATGTAATGTTAACATTACAGTGATGAGTAATGGTCACTGAAAAAGTTGCCATAACTGGAATAAAACACATTTTAAACTATATATCAAAACAGAAAACATTTATTTTAAATTGTAATAATATTTCACAATATTATTGTCTTTATTATATTTTTGATCAAATTTATGCAGCCTTGGTGAGCATAAGAGACACTTCCAAAAACATTACAAAAATCTTACACGTCCCAAACTGCATGTAGTCTGAACAGCACAGCGATCTGCCGATGTTTAAAGTTGTGTAGTGTGAACTTAGCCTTACCAGACACTGTCAAATTATATGAATCATATTAGTTTTACTGCAGGTTTCATATTCATAATCATATTAGTATTGTCTGCTTAAGGTATTTATAATCTTTCAAAAGTTTTCTACTTCAAATAATTGCTGTTCATTAACACTTTCTATTCATCAAAGAATCCTAAAAAAAAGAAAAAAAAAAGAAAATCAGCATATTTGAATTATTTCTGAAAGATCAAGTGAGACTGTAGACTGGAGTAATGATGCTGAAAATTCAGATTTTCCATTATAAGAATAAATTACATTTTAAAATATATTAAAATACAAAACAGTTATTTTAAACTGTAATAGTATTTCAGAATATTTCTGTTTTACTGTATCAAATAAATGCAGCATTTGTGAGTGGTATTGTTTTGCTAACAACACAAGGTAAGTTCTATGTGACACCTGCTGTCATTTACCACTAAAAATAATTGACCCAAACAACCTTCTCAAGTTTGCAAAAACAAACTAAAATAGTTTATAGTAATGCACAGTGAAATTAGTCTAATGGGCAAGACATAACACCAGAATAAACTTTACAGCAAACAGGCTTTTTTGCATTCCTATCACAAATGAAATATGGCGCTACCCAGACTAAGGTCTATAGTGAAAAATTCAGGAACCGTACAACATGGTGACCACTGAGAGCTGCAGTTTTGCCTTTGTCGTGAACCAATGGGTCCCAAATGGGCAGCGATCCTATCAACTGAAAGGCATTTTAATTCGTGCTCCATTCAGTGCCTAATGACATAACGACTTTTGATATATGTTGCCTTAATGTTAACCTGACTATAATTGCATTTTAAATGTATGTTACTTATAATAATAAACAAAGATAGATTATGAAATTAAATATTTCTCATTCTTTAACTGCTCACCATACTAGTTTAGTATACTGTTAGCCTCTTAGCCTACTAAACCTATCATCTTTGATCATTTAAGAACATTGAAATAATAACATGTGAAACAATTATTAAATTGATCACATTTGATCTATTATTTGATAATTTGTTAAGAACACGCAAATAATAATTTGCACAATGTTGGTCAAGTTTTTGCAGCAAAAACAGTAAAGTGGTTTTAATGCCCATTAAAACATCTTACTCATGGACTCTCAGTGATGTGAGCTCATTAATCACCCCTTCAAACATGCAACCTTGCCGTAACCGCCCTAATTTTTAGATTACTGTACACCTCCATGTTCCACATAACACCTCCCCCACATCCAAATGATCTTTTACCGCAAAGTATTGCAACAGCTGACTGTTGACAAGGAAACATTAAAATGATGGACAGAGACATGTGCTGACATACAGTAAGATGAACAAAATGAACAAAAAACCAAAAGGCTAGATTTGGCAATCACTGAACTGTTTTCAAAGTAAAAGACAGTTGGGGCTCATAACTTGTATGTGTTACAGTTGGAAAATACACGGTCAAAAAAACAACAACAACAAAACAACAATGACAAGCTTAATAAGGTGAAATAATAGTTTTCTTAGATGAATCAGGTGGCTAATCAAATGGAGATGTTTGTATGAAATTGTTATTATATACCTGTAAGTGCATGCGCAGGAAGCTTTTCCTCTTGGTGTACTCAAAATTGTTCCTCATGAGCAAGTAAAGAAGGGCAGACGCTTCCCCACGTAGGACACTTAGTTTAGACATGCAGCACTTCAAGACTTCATAACACAGCGAACCACACAGAGTTACACGGCCCTTAAAAAGGGGAACCTGGAACTACAATACATAGATCAAAACACAAACACATTAACGTTCAAGTAGGAAATTCTACAACATCTTGAAAACATCTCTTGTCGTTGCATTTGAAGATTGTGGTCATTCTTTAAAGCAATAGTTTACCCAAAATAAAAACAATTCTCATGAATTACTCATCTTTATCCTTTGTTCCAAACCTGTATGCTAAAAATGTTGAAAAAGATAAAGCTGCACCTTTGCATTAGCATTTAGGTGGGGAAGGTTGAGTAAATTATCATTTTTTGAGAGACCTATTCCTTTAAAGTTTGTAAAAGAAATATATTGATCTCACCTTGATGATAAAGGCTCGCAGAGAGGCAAAGATGTGTTTGATTGCTGTTTCTGATTGTCCGGCTTTTAATAAAGTGAGGTACGTGTCAAAGACCTTCGTCATCAGAGCATTGTGACCATCACTGTCCAGCAGTTGATTCTGTCAGGATCCATTAATTACATCAGTTTATGAAAGAATCAACATATCCAACCAACAGTAAAAGCTTTGCTTCATCATGAACACTAGGATAAGAATATCCTAGAGTCTTGGTGATTACCTTGAAGCACTGAGTGAAGAGTGAGAGGACATCCAGCACAGTAAGGCAGGCCTCTGTCGACATATTCCCCTCAAGCAAAGACTGATGGTTTGTCTCTGCTTCTGTAGGACCTCCAGCTGAAATACAAGATTACACAAATACGAGCTAAAATCACAATGCAGAGTGAAAACAACTGGCGTCACTCAAAACGTTTGTAAAGAATTCTGTAGTTTTCATGTTAATCTCATAGTCATAAGACTATATTTTAGAAAAAAAAAAGAATTATGGTCTAAGCCAAGAGAAATTAAAGACTATAGTTGATTATGGTAAGTGTGTAATTTTTTATGTTAAAATACTTTCTCCTAAACTAACTTATTTTATGGATTTTTAAAAAAATTATTAATATTTTTATTCATCAAGGATGCATTAAATTGATCAAAACTGACAGTTACAAAAGATTTTTATTTCCAACTAAATTGTTTTTTTTGGGTTTCTGTTCTTCAATGAATTCTAAAAAAAAAAAAAATTATTCCACAAAAGCAGCACAACTGTTTTCAACATTACTGATGATGATAATAATAATAATAATAATGTTTAAATAAAAAAATGTTTCTTGAGCAGCAAATCCACATAGAATAATTTGTGAAGGATCATGTGATGATGTAATGTTAACATTACAGTGATGAGTAATGGTCACTGAAAAAGTTGCCATAACTGGAATAAAACACATTTTAAACTATATATCAAAACAGAAAACATTTATTTTAAATTGTAATAATATTTCACAATATTATTGTCTTTATTATATTTTTGATCAAATTTATGCAGCCTTGGTGAGCATAAGAGACACTTCCAAAAACATTACAAAAATCTTACACGTCCCAAACTGC